TATGTGCTCTTGTTGTGATTGGGTCCAAATTTTATGTACAGTGTTTGACTTTAGGTAACATTTAAATAGTGATAATATTATCAGTGTGAAATATTGTACTTTTTGTTTACTAAATTTAGCCTATTCAATATCTACAGTTACTAAAGCCCCATCTTTGCAAGATAGACCAGTAAACATTTGTGAGTTACTTTAGCCCAAAGTACAAAGATCCTAAGCTTGTATTTTCACAAAAACACATATGCTTTCAGCAAGGCAAATATTTGGACTATAAATATTCATTTGTGATATTTCTTTGGGGAAAATAGTGGGTTTATGATGTGTGTACACTTACATGTAATACACAGTAATGTTCTTTTTTTTTTTTAAAGCAATTTCACTCGAAGCAGGAGAGCATAGATTGAGCAGAGATACACCATCAGCTAATTGGCTGTCCATTAGTCCTACTCCCTCAGGGAATCTACTTCCTCTGTTGCGGTTTAATTAACAGATTTGGACTGGATCCAGTCACCTCCACACCGCTGCCCGCCTCCACACTTTTTATTACAAAGCTGACAAGTGCTCACAGATTGCACAGAGTGTGATCAATAATCTTACAAGCATGTCATGTGGATCAAAGATCTGCAAATGCAAACATGGTCACAGAATGGTTTTGGTTGTATTTCAGTTTTTCCGAACGACACATATGGATGGACTTATCTATGGATAGATAAACACGCAGGGAGGTGTTCGTGTGCACACATGAGTCATTTGGCCCTAAGGCAGTGACTGAAGTTAAAAAACACAGGAGACTCTGCAGCACCCACAGTGTCACACTGCTTGTGGAGGGTAGATTTTTGGGAAGGTATACAGGAATTTGTGGGGGGTGCATTAATGCTTACATGCATTGCCACAGTTCTGCTAAAACCAATATCAGCAACACTTTATCCTCTTCCTACACAGCGTGCAGGACACATGCAGTTTATGAAAAAAAAACGTACCACAGGTGAACAGACGAGAATGAAAAGCTTTAAAAGCTAAAGAGTGGTGACCAATTAAATTAAAAGCTCTGTTTCCTCGGACAGTGAAAGAAAGAGAAAACAAAGGGTCACGTAGAGGTTAATTATTTTTTTACCTGTTTCACAGCAGTCCATTAATTCAAGCAGCAGGGCTTCAATAACAGTGTTCTAAACCTTATCAGTGATAGTGGAGCAGATTTCATATTCCTTCCTCTTCTTTCCTCTTTCTTTTATTTCCTCTCTACCCTGTTGTTGTTTTCCCCTCATCTCTTCTTCTATCTCCTACACTGCATGTCACCCTTCTTCATCTCACTTGGTTTCTCCTCATCTCTTCTCTCGTGACTCCTATTCCTCTTAATTCTGCATTTTTTGTTTTTAGTTTGAGTTCAATTTCTATTCCAGTCCCCTTTTTGTATGTGTGACCCTTTAGAGCAAATCAAGGCCTCCACTTCCACCTGTATCGTTTTTAAAAGCCACATACACAAAAATCCTCATTTTTACAGTAATTCCAGGAGTTCTGTATCAGCAGCAGACAGATGAGCACCGTGACTGATAATGTTTTTGGCTTGCTGCACCTCCAGAGACACGGCGCGAAATTATCTCACATTAATAAAGAGTATTAGAGATTAAAATAAATCCCACCAATACACAGCAACAACTAGGACAAAACAGAAAGACACGAGCAACACACAAAGCACAGACTGCTAAAGTGAACCTAAACACGACACCAGCCAGCTTCACCTGATGTATTTACATGTAAGCACGAGTTTATGGCTGTGTGCTGTCCGCTATCACAGGTGAATTCTGCAAATAAAAATGTATCCAGCTGACGGCAATGGCTGCTTTTGTTTGGACGAGCCATCAAGTTTATGTTACTAAGTAAGACAAACTTAACGACGCTTCATTTTCACAGGCTTGTGTTAGCGGCAGTGTGGATTAAAAAGGCTGTCCTGCACACTCTAAACAGAGACTAAAGACATGACGAAGGGAAAAAAATACTTACAACTATCCGCTCACTGTGTTTCACCGGTCTGCACTTCAGCTGAGAACAGACTCACTCGGAGCCGTGAACAGCGGAGACTGTCTCAGAGCTCTGAGAGCTGAGGGGGTTTGTAAGAACAGCCTCCACCTACAATACCCACGCGCGCACACACGCGCCCGTGTTTCTTTTTTTTTCTTTCTCTCTGTTTTTTGTTGGAATTTCGAGGACCCTGCAGACACGACGTATTAGCAACACTCTTAACCAATAGAAACCACAACCCTAGTTCTAGAAACAGTTTTAGATGTTTTATATATACATTATATTATAATGGTTATGCTCGGCTTAATCACATCCTGTATTATCCTCTCTCGTAGCTGAGCGCAAATGTTGTGGAAATCTGAAATAAATCAGGTTTTCTCTGCGACTTTAATTTGACTTTGCATTGGTTCAAATTACCAGCAGGTCCATGTGCTTTTTTACAAAGCACCTCCAATATTTACACATCACTGCCACGATCACACAATACGGTCAGAACACTGTGTGCGAAAGATAACTGATGCATGAGCGTGTGGTATACCTGAGAGATTATTCTTTGCCCTCATAACAAAACATACAACAATAAATAAAATCTGTTTATTTATTCAAATTATTAGGAAGATATGCTCATAATAAATTGAATACATACCAATCAAGTACATTTCTTTTGGCCAGATTCCATTAAACTTTTTTCATGGACTTAAAAAAACAAAGACACAGAAAGTTGACATGTAATTAAATTAAAATCAGCATTTTGAGCATAAATATTTTCTGAGTGCATGAAGACAGAATGACAAAACATGGAGCCTTTCACTGAGTCAGGTCAGCTTCACACAGTCTTAAAATTTCCCATTACACTAATCAGTTGTTAATACCTTTGCGGGGAGTGCACAAATGAACAAACAGCTAAGCACCTGAATCTCTGGAGCCATTACTCATAGCAGCAGCTTTGGAAAACCATCACTTTATGCTTTTTAAACAAGTGCCATTAACATGGGTTCATTTTTTACTTTTTGTGCACTTAAATTTGAGTCCTCAAGACAAATTGGCGGTAAGAAGTACTGTATAACAAAGTACAGGGATAGTGCAATCACAGTGTCACATATTTTACACAAAGCAATTTTAAAATGCTGTGTTTGTTTAGACATTTAATTCTGATTCAGAAATGCAAACAAAGTGTTCAAAAATAGCGATTCATACGAACATAGCAGGCACTTTGCTTTGCTCTCTCATCTTTCTGCCTCTGTGAATAGCTGTAAGTAAAAATGGAGGGGCCATTGACTAACAGTCCATGTTCAGACCAGACTTTTTAACTGAACGAGGCAGTCACTTTACGACCGTCAGCCAGTGCATTTCACCTTCCTCCTTAGCAATAACTAAGGCAAAAATGCAGTTCAACCCAAGGCATAGTGAGAATGGGCTTCATGAACATGGCTGAAGCAAATGTCATGTTCACAGTGTGAGATATGCTGAGTGGTGCATAAGTAGTTTGGGTCTCCTTAGAGAGTACTCTGAAGGTGTGCCTGCATGTGTGTGTTCTTCTATTGTCTGTCATTCCAGCACACAGTTCCAACATTGTTACTTTTCAAGCACCTACACCTGTGCGGCAGACTCACACCCAAGCTCCTGCAGTGGGAACTCTAACCTTTAGTACGTGTGTCCCCACTCAGCCAGGTGAGATATAGCAGAACAATTCAGAGTCTGACAGTAAGGGTGAAGACGAGCCTGACTGTTGGTCTGCTCCAAACAAGCCCATAAGCAAGCTTTGAAATATTATGTTACAAAATTGTGAAACTGGGACATGAAATTTGATTTGAAAATGAAATTCATCCTGATCAGGAGCTGTTATGATCTAAATGGTGTTCTAGATCCAGTAAGCAAACAGGAAGCAATGTGTGTGCTTTTTCAAACTAATACAAAGCTATAGTGCAGACTACAGCGCCATCCAGTTGGTGTTCGCTCTCTCTGCGGTAGAGTATCACTTCCTGTTCCAACACATAGTGGTGTTTTTGTGTAGCTTATATGCGTAGCAGTTTAATTATAACCTTATAGATAACTTCTTATTTCATAGGGTTAGGGTTAATCGTCCTGCTTGACAATGACGTGCCCAAAGTGAATTGACTATTTCGCTTTGGACGTCTGCTTTCAGCACCTGACGGCATGTCCGGTGAATGAGCCGCGCTTTGTGTTTACATCTTTTTGCGGATTCTGTTTACACATTCAAAATAAAGAGAGAGAAGTTTGTTTGTTTTTTGTTTCTTTAACTTTCATCAGAGTCAGAAGTATGCATACACTTCCTTATTATTTGGTAAAATTGCCCCAAAACTGTTTCACTTGGGCCACACGCTTCAGGTGTCCTTACACAGCTTTCTGCAACAGTTTGCTGGAATCTTGGCCCACTGCTCTTGACAGAACTGGTGTAACTGGGTCAGGTTTGTAGGTCTCCTTCCTGAGCGGTATGATGGTTGTACGTTCCTGTACTTTTTATTCTCTCGTATTATTGTCTGAATGGATGAATGTGGGACCTTCAGGCATCTGAAAATTGCACCTAAAGATGAGCCACACTTGTGGAGTCTACAATTCATTTCCTGATGTCTTGGTTGATTTTCCTATGATGTCAAAGAAAGAGGCTCTGTGTTTGGGGGTGTGGTTTTACATGCATCCACAAGTGTGCCACAAATGAACTCAAATGGACTTAATTAACCGATCGAATCATCTTAAGCTCAAAATAGAAAATATCTGGAGTTTAGCTTTTGTTTAAAGACGCTTGCTTTTACTTTACTTGAGAGATACTGACCTCAACAAACAGCTTGGGTTCTTCAACTGTATCTTATGGACACTCAGGTGAAGAACAGAGCTGAGCTATGAACTGATGGTCACCTGATGGTGAGTTGGGTCAGGTGGTGGGGGAGGATGCTGGACACCCCTTTAACTGCCAGTTCGACAGCATTCTGAGGGAGGCTTTGGACACTGAGTCAGAATGGACAATGTTCTGCTCCTCCATAGCTGAGCCTGCTGCAAGGAGCTGTGGCAGCAAGGTGCTTGGTGCCTGTCGTGGTGGTAACCTCCCAGAAAGGAGCCATTAAACTGAAGGCGGAGTTCTATCGGGCTTGGTTGGCCATCACTCAGCGGCCTCCAGCTCACACTGGAGGGGTTCACAGCAGGGCTGTGCGATATACTGAATATACTCAATGTATCGCAAGTTTTTCCACAAAAAGTGAAACACTGCCTGGACTGACAAACAAACCATCCTTAAAGATATTAGAACACACCAAGCTTCTGTGTTATTTGAGCCAGAGACTGCACTTGTGGATGAACAATAAAACCCTTTTATATTTATTATATCAGTAATGTAACTTGCAATACAAAGTTTGAGAAGCCTAAACCTAGTTTCAGAATAATTAAATCTGAGACTTTGTTTTATTGTAAGGTTAATAAAGTTTTTGATTGTGTGACAAATAAAAATATGAACTTTAATTTTGAAAATATTTAACTATTATTAAATAACACCGGGTACAATATTGGTAATATGTGTGTTGTTCAGCAGAACAGTGACCAGTATGTTGGCTGATATACTTTATTTATATTTTAAAATAAAAGTTTGGCTGATTTTAACGTATTAAAAGGAGTGTTTTTAATAATTATTTTTTGAATAAAAGTACAGTGTTTATATTAAATGTTGTACTAGAAATAAGTTCAAGGATGATAAAAGGTCATGTGACTTTGTTGGATTCAACTTGTATGCAGCAAAATGAAAAATAAGTTACCACATGTTGTTTTTTAATTTGGTAAATAATTGATAAAGTGTTAAAAGTAGTGGTTGTGTTTGACCTCATCACCAGGATGAGTTGGAAATACTTCAAATTCCCTCAGGTGGCCTTTTGCTGGTTGGATTGCCACTACAGTCTGTAAACTGTGGAGGTAATTTTGTGAGCTCATTGGATGAGCAGTTTCTGAAATACTCAGACCAGCCCATCTGGCACCAACAACCACGCAATCTCTTTCCCCCATTCTGATACTTGCTTTGACCTTCAGCAGGTCATCATGAACATGTCTGTATGCTTAAATACTTTAATTTGCTGACGTCTGATTGGTTCACTAGATATTTGTGTTTACCGAGCAGGTGAACAGGTGTACCTGGCAAAGTGTGTGTAACCCTCAGTGTAAATAAATCCTAAGTAAATAAATCCTTTTACGAGTCCACAAGAAACACCACAAATCACAGGGCAGTCTGTGATCTTTCAGGACAGAGACATCAACAACAGTGACAGGACCCTCAGCGTCTTTCTACTGAAGCTGTCAGGCCCTGCTCAAATTTGAGCCACAAGCCTTTGGATGAAATTTAATTCAGGTCTTGACCAAAGTACATTTATGGTCAGTTCATACTGTAGATCTTCTATAAAATCGACGGTTTACACAATACTCAAAGTTTCATTTCTCAGCTTCATTTCCCTCCCAGCACTTTATGAAAGGCAAAAGCAAAAACTGCTGATGAGTAACTTTGCATCAATGTGTGGAGTATTGCAGCTTTTCATGCAGCATGATAAGGCTTCATCATGACACTGGTGACTATACAATGGTCACCATTCAGACAGAAAGGCAGTTGTTAGAGGGTGAATGGCAGGAACACTGTGTCTGCTGCCTCTTCTCTTGCCTCTGTGTATCAGTGAGTATTCAACAACAGTTTCTATATTTAACTGCTGGTTCTTACTGCATAATTCTGTCTGTATAATATAAAAATGATTCAATGCATCGAGTTATGCCAAACCTCACAGAAACTGTGCACGGTGGGTATTCTGAATTGCTGCTCGGCACATATATGCAGACCACAGTCAGAGCCTTACCCTCTGCTGCTTGAAGTCACACAGAGGTAACCCACTCGCTCTCTGTCAGCACGCAGTCGCAGACTCGTGAGCGAGGGTTTTTTTTCTCTTGTTTTGCTCTACTCTTAAGAGCTCCATTAGCCACACAGAGGGCACAATATGTTCTGTATTGCTTCTCAAAGTTAGCATTGGTTAGTGATCATGAGCTGTTTTAGGTTTATAAATCATTGGTTTACACCATATTCCTCTGAATTAATGTCACAAATTGACAAACTGACAGTGAGATACAGTGAAGCGTGTAGAACATGTAATTCAAATCAGAGCACGAGCAGAACAAGAGCATGAAGCTGAGATCAAACTTCATTTGCTTCCATCTATAAGGTGCAGGTCACTGAGGTCTTCTGACAGAAACCTGCTGGTGGTTCCTCGTTCTAGGCTGAAAACTAAAAGAGACTAAGTGTGTCTTCAAGGCTGTTGGCTGATAATCTATGGAATGCACTAATATTACATTTGATCTCTGCGGTCTGAATATTTGAAAGAGCAGCTCTACTCATTTGTACACGCTTAATTTTAGGTAGTGGATATTATTATTGTCTTTTAATGTTTGTATTTATTTTTATTGATTATTATTGTGAAGCACTTTCTCTATAGAAATATTTTACCTTCATTTCCCTTCTGTCACTTTATGAAAGCCAAAAGAGACGATAAGTAACTTTGCATAAATGTGTGGAGCTTTGCAGCTTTGCAGTTCATAAAGCTTCATAATGACACTATGTGACTATGCAGTGTCCAATATTCAAACTGAAATGCAGTCATTAGAGAGTGAATGGCAGCAACACTATGTGTGGTGCCTCTTCTCTTTTCTCTGTGTATCAGCGAGTGTTCAGCTACAGTATCTATATTTAATGGCTCTGGTGTTCACTGCGTGGTTCTGCCTTACTTCTGAGAGCAGATATTTTACAGGTACAAAGAAAAACTGGCAGTGACCTGGTGGGGCGGGGGATTCCTCTTTCAGGTGTGACGGCTAACACAGAGGTCGCTCTGCAAAAGAGAGTCATTGGAGGTGATGAATGTGAGCGACAGTATCATGTACAGCTCAGAGCAGTTTATCCACATGGACCTTCCAGCTTGTGTGGAGGCTCTTTGATCAGCGACCGCTGGATTCTGACTGCAGCTCACCGTCTGAAGCCAGGAGGGTGAGGAGATCAGAGCAGCAACTAAAACTTGTTTTTGCTATTCAGTAAAAAGTAAAATACATTCAGACAAGATGAGAAATAGAATATGGTGACCATCAGTAATCATGTTTTATGTTTGCTGTGCACATGCAGGACCATGTTTGCAAATCTAAGTGTGCATCAAGGGGGTCCGAACAAGAAGTGCAGATAACAGCAGAAGCTGAGATCTATACAGACAAAGACACCAGCACAGGCAGAGTTCATGACATCATGCTGCTGCAGCTACTAGCAGCTCTGATGTCCAACCTATAAAACTACCTGACTGTGAGTTGTGGATGTTTCTGCTTCAGGTTCATGTGTTCTGACAGATACTGACACGTCGTGCTAACTTCAGTTTTAGATTCAAATGATACATTTATGTTCCTGTGGCTCAAAGTTTCTTGCTTTGAAGTTTTTTTTCTTAAAGTTTCTTCTTGACCTGAGCTCTGTGCTGTGAAGTGAGTTCAGCATATGTAGAATATATTTCCTTTATCTTATCCCAACAGTGGGAATCAGGATAAGTACTCACAGGAAGCTGCTTATCAATTCAAAGCCCTGGTTATCAAGTTAACCAGGGCTTTCAATCCTAATGGATGTGGATAAACTATACTGGCAGTGCAGGTTTTAAAAAGGAAGATAAAACTGTAATATTAGAAAAATATGAAGGGTTTAAATGCATAATACAGACTGAAGGTAACAGCTGCTGCAGAAAAATCAGTGTTGTGTGTGTGTGTGTGTGTGTGTGTGTGTGTGTGTGTGTGTGTGTGTGTGTGTGTGTGTGTGTGTGTGTGTGTGTGTGTGTGTGTAAAATTGCTGTAGGGTAGCTTAGTAGTAAAAGCACTATATGAATGTGCAAGCACTTCAGATGCTTTGTTCAATAAGACTGGATGAAATCTATATCAATAAAGTCTAGCCCATTTGGAGACAAGCAAGAAAGACAGCAAAAATCCTGACTGACATCACGGCCTATCATTACACAGGAGAATCTGATGGATCATTAATCAAGTATTTCATTTAATTAATGTTTGAAAGACAGTTTCAGCTTTTATTCTGTCAGCTACAAACTTTCTGCTGTTTATTAGTTTAAGAGAAAATAAAACTTAATATAACAACAGAATTTAAACATAGGCTGCAAACTGAAAAATGTCTATGAAAAAATGCTATTGAAGAATTTTAGCCCCTCCCACTGACCATGTAGTACAGTAGGAGGGTCTAAAGTTGAAAGTTTCAAGGGATTTTCCAGGAATGGTGATGCTGCTTTTCTGGACAAATGATCTCTAAACTTGAACTTAACCAGAGGGATATAGTACAAAGAAAATTCAACAAGGCTTGGCTTACTTTGTGTTAGCTGGCTTGAGAAAACGTAAAACACCAGTCAGTGTCACGCCGCCGGGTATATCAACTTCTCTTTTAAGCTGTGCTTTCTGCTTCACGCTCCGTGCCCACGCATGTAACAAGGGCTGCTACAAGGCCCTTTAAAACAGGAAGTAGCATGTGCTGCAGTGAGCTTGAATGGTTTCCCAATGCGTTGAGCAAGCACAGTGCAAGCATGCTAGCCAGGTGTGGTGCGTGATGATAAAGTGGTGACTAAAACTCTATAAAGGACATAACTAATATAACAGCAGGTCAGGGTTACTCTTACAATTTTCTCTGGTAAGAAGTCAAAATCCTTCATATAGAACTCTGAAGTTACCTGGAGAGATGAGATCCTGCTTCATAGTACAGGCCTCAGGGCAACATTTCAAAGTTAATGTGCAAAACAATCAATATATGTATTTGTATGTAACTGACAAAAAAAGGAGAGAAAAGCGTCCAAACACTTCTTGTGTCATTCCAGAGTTGAGGTCGCAGGTTATGGTGCCACCACTGGACTAGCTAATGAGAAAAGAAGGAAGATGATTTTTAACAAATTTGTTGTATTAAGAAAAAAGAAAACAAACCATCCAAACTGTTACTTTATTAGTAAAGAGATGTTGCAGATATTTGTACTGAAATTGTATTTTTCTTCATTTCTAATGTGTTCAAAGTAAAAACAAGCTTTTCCTGTGAGCTCAGACCATTTTATTTCTTTCTGCTGCATTTCTGCATAAAATACAAATCTGCATCATTTTTTAAAAAGTGCTTTAAGCTGAACTAATTGTCCCTTTTTTCTAGAACCTGGTGAATCACCCTCTCTTCACTGTGCAGAGACTGAGGTTGTCAGCTGTACAGAGCTCAATGATATTTTACAGAAATAATTCCCCGAGGTCCACCGAGTCAAGAGCTATCAGCACTGGTTCTGTGGACCAAGTCCTGGGAAAGATATATGTCGAGTGAGTTTGCATGATCCCTCAGCTCACAGCTGCATTTATTAAACATTCAAAATACAGAAAGATTTTATAAACCTGGGAAACTGTATTTCTGTCTTGCAGGGAGACTCTGGTGGAGGAGTGGTTCATAATGGCAGGATTTATGGGGTCTCTTCTTTTGTGGGAGATCCAGACTTTGTATGCAGAGCACCGGCTGCCTTCATGGACCTCTGTGATCCTGAGTATGCAGATTGGATCAGGAAAACTATCAACCCATAAAAAGCTGTGAGGTGTGGATAACTGTAAACAAGCTGAAATAAATAATCTTTTAGAGTTTAGCTTTGGTTTCTTTTATTCTCTTTGATATAAGCAGTAGAGGATTTCAGAATTTCTGTGTTATTTGCCAAAAGACGTTTTTTCAGCTGCACCCACACACAGTTTCTTTAGATAACTTCAACTGCAGAAAGTAAAAACTCAGCACTAAGTTTCAAATGCAGTTTTAAAGATAATGATAATATGGTGGCCCTGAATACTGAAACTGCAAAAGTTTTTTCTATTGACGGATGAATAAAAGTTGTGTTTTATTAAAAGTTGAATAAAACACAACAGAAATAGAAAAAAACGTTCTCATCCTAAAACTTGGTGACAAAGTGGAATATGGTAAGGAAACACTCACTTAAGTGCTGTCATTACTCAAAGGTTCCTGATAATCATGCATGAAGTGATTTCTGGAGGGGAATGAAACTTAACTGAACTGCTCCCTGTGACATTTTGACCTGTCAAACGCAGGCGTAACTCCTGTTATTCATCGTTGTATTGCAGGTCTGCTGTGCACGACGTCTGTGAATCTGAGTAATTTGGTACAGATGAAGGAATAAGACTGCTCAGATGCTTTGGGTGTCACGTAATGATCCCTCAGGTTTGGGTGTCTTTGGTGCCCTTTGATTTCAATCTACCTGCACATTGAACAGAAATCCTGCCATGACAGAACACACTAATGCCTTTTCAAGGGAGAACCGATCCTAATCTGAGCTGTCAGCCCCAAGTTCTCTGCAGTCATCAAATCAAGCATAATCTGGTTTGAACAGGCTCCCTGCCTCACTGCAAAAGCCTTTTTACCAGCTGCTGTTTGACAAATTGCAAAGCCTCTGAAGAGACTTTAGAAAGGGGGAAAAAGGATACGAGAAAAAGCTGAACAAAAAGCTATCCATGCACTGTTTACATTTCACTTGGAGTTTATTGACTGTATTCTATCTGTGGATTGCATTATAGCTTCTCTGAGAGCTTTGCTCCCTGAAGATTTTATGATCTGTGAACGCTGAGTCTCTCTTGTGGCTGTAAACCAGTCTGCTCAGCATGGCACTGCATGGCAGAGTTTCTCTCCATTTTTTGAATCACCTTTGCTCAGTTGTGCTCCTAACTGGTCTCCTGAGTTTGGCTGTATTCCTGGACTTTGCCCTTTAGTTACTCTTCAGTCTCTTTGACACACAGGCTGCCAAATTTGAAATAACATTTTTAGTTTCGGAAAAAGAAGAGCGTGTCTAGCAAATTCTTGCACATCCTTGTTCTTAAATAGCACTTTTCTACTCAAGCACTCAAAGTACTTTATACACCTCATTCACCCATTCATACAAGCACTTTTCTGTACCTAAGTTCTTTCTATCTAACATTCATACTCTGATGGACACATGAAAGAGCAGTTTGGGGTTCAGTATCGTGTCCAAGGATACTTTGAGATACAGATCAGATCAGGCTGCGATCGAACCTCCAACCTTCTGATCGGTACTAATTGGACGTTTGCTGCTGCACATGTAGCATCACAGCTTAGAAGATGGTGGTGTGGAAATGTGTTTCCCATTAACAATTGACTAAGAAACTCTTAGTCAAGGGTTAACGTCACTAATGTCAGTATTTTCACTGACTCTAAAGCATGATCTTCATTAGATTAGATCAACATTGTTCCTTAATCCTGAGCTGTACAGGAAAATAGATTTCTGATACACATGTACATAAACAAATAAAGAGAGATGTTTCCCACCTGCTGAGAAGACAACAAATGCATAACCTGATTACCACCATCTCACATCCACTGATTTCTGGCACCTATAAGTGAGATTGATTTCACTGTCCTGCTGTCTTGGCCTTTAGGAGAACACAGTGAGACAGATGAAGCTTGCACCAGATGGTGGAAACACAATGATCGTGGTCTTAGACACAGCATCCACACTCTGTACATGATAGTGTGTGTGTGGTGCTGTTTGCAGGAACTTGATGAGGCTTTGCTTAAGTGGAAATCCACTGATGTTCAAGCCCCAGGGAAGTGGGCGGGGGGGATAGGACCTCTGGGGCCCTCTTCCTGATGGAGCCCTACCTGACTCCTTTCACTGCTAAAGCAAGAATGGTGCCACAGCTCATTGAAACAATACTTCATTTCATCAGAATCATCAAATGATTCTGTTAAAAACAACCGCCCAGTGTACTTGCATGGCAAACATCGTGATTAGATATTCAAGAAGAGCCTCTTAAAGATGAAGGTCTGTGTCTCTTGACCTAAACACATAATCCAGTTAAATCTGATTTATGTTATTAATGCCCCTCACACTGTAACTTAAAGTAATAAATCGGTCATTGATTAATTACAGAAGTACGTCTGTGAGCATAAAGATGTAAGCCTTGGACCATCAGGATAAAATGTGGTTGGGAAACTTAACAAGCTTTGATAAAACTTCATCAGTAGCTCAAGCAAGACCTCAAAACCTTCGATCACCACGGGTGGTTAGCAGACTGTGGTTGTACCATGCAGCCTCACAACATGCAGTAAATTGCAGGTTAAAGCAGTCTGCTTACACATTGTTAAACGAGGGAAGGGAACTAATGTGGCTGTCACATTACCCTTTTGTCCCATTTCATCCCAGGACTTGATTCAATTGCTGCTCACTTTCTACAATACTTAAAACTGATCAGTAGGACCTGAAACTGCAAACATTCAAACATTCAGGCCAACAATCAGTTGGTGAACATATTAATCTACTACAATTAGCAAAAATGAATAAATAAACAGAAGAAAGTTAGAGTGATATCAGAGTCATGCAAGTTTTTGACCAGCAGGTTAAACTCATGCAAATTAGCTTCATCCAGGCTCATGAAAACACTGTCCTGCTTATAAACAGCAGATCATTTGTGTCAGTGTCAGGATGGTTTATATTTGAGCTTTTAGTTCACACAGAACAATTTTTATTAATTGTTTTTAGCGATTACGAAAGTCTGTGAATCCCCAAATTGTTCAGTTGTTCTCTTTGCTCCCCATGAGGTCACTTTCACCATGTGACAAAAACAACACCCCACTCTACACACTCGGGCCACCAGCAACTTTCTAAATCCTCAATAAAAAGCTGACAGGTTGCAATGATGTTCCAAAAACTATTAAGAAAACAACTAAATACACAGAAAATGTTATGAAAATTGGTTTATTTTATATCTCATAGTTTTAAATGATGCAATAAAAATATGTATAAAACATCACAAACTGTAATATTTTACAAATGCTTACGTCCTGCTGATGCAATGGAGACATCTTCCAGTGACAGTCTTCATCAGTGTGAGTGTGAGGAGGATCCTAAACCCACCAACACAGAAGTGCATGTTCACAACTCCCTCTGTGCAGGCGGGGTCAGGACCCTCCTCACCTAGGGTGAGGAGGGTTGGTGCTGTGGCCAGTCAGGTATGAAGTGCTGAGAGTGGATCTTTGGTCCTCTGTGCAGCTCTGTCCACTCTCAGCTGCCCTGCAAAGTAATAACACAAGAAAGACGTCATTTTAACACAAAACAGCATTTTCATTGTTGGTAGCTGCAGTATGTTGTTAAAAAACTATTTTAAACCCAACGTATACACATGAAAAATATAAATAAAGCTAAACCTACAGTGCTGCTGACATAGGATGATGATTTATACCAACTATTGGAAGAATTTTGTCTTCAATACAGTTTGTTGTCAATGTGAGGTGATAACTTACATAGTTGGAACACAGCACCACTCTCCCGTTTTTCACTTGGTCATCCATCCTTCTCATCGGGTTGGTGGGGTAAGGCTGTCTTCTGGGTGGGGTGTTTGCTCCATCTTGGACGTAACTGGAAGTAATAACAACTAAAAAACGACCTTTAATTCACAATGTAATATTAATATTAATGTCACATATCAAGAAAAAAGCAATACATTTCACATGTGCGAGTCACATGTTCTTATATCTGTAAAAACAAAAACACAAAGGCAAAGTTTAAAAACACGTTCTAACATAAACTAATCAGAGTCACTGTCATCCATGGAAAGGTTAAAAGGCCTCTCCCAGAAACGTCTGACTCCAAAACTACCTGAGGATGTTGAAGGGGCATCAAACTGGTCACTCACCTTGCACCTCTTTGCACTTACCTCTTCGGTGCAGATGTCTTCTCTGCTTCTCTTTTCTGAGGAAGGAGCAGCAGAGAGATCAGCTGAGGAAGCAGATGACAGAGCAGCTGAGAAAGGAGCAGCAGAGGGAGCGGCTGAGGAAGGAGCAGCAGAGGGAGCAGCAGAGGGAGCAGCTGAGGAAGGAGCAGCAGAGGGAGCAGCTGAGGAAGGAGCAGCAGAGGGAGCAGCTGAGGAAGGAGCAGCAGAGGGAGCAGCTGAGGAAGGAGCAGCAGAGGGAGCAGCGAGGAAGGAGCAGCAGAGGGAGCAGCTGAGGAAGGAGCAGCAGAGGGAGCAGCTGAGGAAGGAGCAGCAGAGGGAGCAGCTGGGGGGAGGAGCAGCTGGGGGAGAGGAGCAGCTGGCGGATCACCAACCTGGGCAACAACTCGAGGGAAGAGTGGGGCATTGGCCTGGCCGAAAGGCGGCATGGGATGGGGGCAGCACCTGGAGCAATAGGACGTTGCCAATCGTGCCAAAACGGCTCTGGAGGGTGCTCCCGGATGAGAGGGGAATCATCTCTCTCATCCATGGTGTCATACCCAGAGTCATCGCTAAGCCAATCCCCCCACTCTTCTGAGTCGTTCCAGTCAGATGAATTGTCAGTCTGTTCACTCACCTCTTCATCGTCTACAGGTAGGTAGGGGGGATACTCACCATACTCACCTTGCTGTTCACCGTCATCAGCATCTGGTGCTTCATCAGAAGAGGGTGAGGGTGAGAAAGGGATAAAATACCTACCATACTCACCTTGCTGTTCACTGTCATCAGCATCTGGTGCTTCATGAGATAAGGGTGAGGATGAGAGAGGGATAAAATACTCACCATACTCACCTTCGCTG